GGATCGAAAATGCGCCCATGGCATTATCAGCCCCATGCTCTAGCCAACTGAGCTATTCAGAAGACTTGGAGTAAGGCTCAAATGCAACATTTCTCTGTGATATGCTCAATTTCCACATGCAGTGTGTGTATGTGAGAGAGAGAGAGAGAGAGAGAGAGAGAGAGAGAGAGAGAGAACATTAAAATATGTTATTCTCCCCTAAGCATTCTATTTTCTGGCACTGCACTGCTGAACAGCATTGCATTGTGAACAAGCCTGTCCCTTAGTAAAGGGTCTTGTGGCAGCCTGCAGGAGCTTACCCGCATAAGCTATATTTTTGCTGACTTCTGGTTGCAGAACATCAAAGTCAGCTGGTGGTAGCAAAATATGAAAGACCACCACCGACCTAGAATGGTTTTTTAGTTTGCTCATGCTGAACAACCCTTCCCCTTTAACCGCAGTCCTACTTTTGTTCACTCTGAGTAACTTTTGCTTAAATGTGCTTTGCATAATGCAGTTGACTCCACTGTAGTAGTTCCGTTTTTCCTCCCTTTTCCCAGTGTTATATGTCTGCAGAACTTTGATGGTCTGGACAAGGACTTCATGAGGAGACAAACTTCAAGCAAGAGGAAGTTGCAGAAAGAAACAGAGGCCCAATGTCTTCATTTTATCTCCCTTGGTTAATTGGCTTACCATCCATCACTCCAGTTAGTGTTGGCCCTGAGGTCAAACCTTGAGCTCACAGGTGCAGCAACTCTATCCATAGAATCACATGGTATGTCTACCAAGCCCTTGATTCCTGCATTGCAGGGGGTTGGACTAGATGACCTTGGTGTCCGTTCCAACTCTATGATTCTATAATCAGGAGGAAATTGTTTCCCTTATTCAGAGTTTCCAGATCAAACATCTTTTTGGATCTAGAGAAATTTCAGGAAGAATTCTGTTGCATTAAACATCATTATTTAGCCTTTTTCTTTCTTCTTATGAAATGGGAGTGAGAATTGAGCCTCACATTGTTTCCATAGTCCATGCACTAATTGATTTAGGTCTATGTGATTTATTGGATGTCTAGAGCACCTTTAAGGACATATACCCTCCCAAGAAGCCTTAAATCAGGAACTTGCCATAAAAAACCTTGATGAACAAAACTGCTAAGGGACATTAAAAGCTGCCCTATAGTCCATCTAGGTCAGAATCTGAGCTCAACAAATTGCCTCTGTTTATGTGTCTGCTATATGTTGTGCGGTTTTTCTTCTGTTCCCATTTCACTCTATATTGTCTGATTAATAACAATAGCAGCAATAATAATTCATATTAGATATTGTTTCAGCTTATGTTATGAATCTCCTTGAGTGCACTTGGACCAAAAGGAAATACATACACTTTTCCTTGGGGGCAGCCAGCCAGCCAGTACAACTGCAGAAGGGGTGTTAAATTGCTTTCTTTAAAAAGAGAGAGAGAGATTTGAGAGCTCTTGGAACTGTACGTGCAGAAAAGCATATAAGCACAGATAAGTACAAGTTAATAATAAACCTATAGCAGTGCACGGTAATATATTTTACCAGCCCTGTAAAAGATCTCACCTTTCCAACACTGTGCAACTACATGGTTTTATTGACTCAGTAAGCACTATCCCCTTCTCTAGTTCATTTTTCCATATCCCCCCAAGAAGAACAACAACCTATTTTGGAATGAAACGTAAAAGCTGCTCAGACAAGATTCCCAGCTTCTTCTATGACAAATCATACATTCCGGGGCCAACCCTATCATTACACATGGCAGGAGGGTATGCTGCAGGCAGCAGATTCTCTTTCAGAGTCAATTATTTAGGTCCGACTTCCCCAACTTGGTGCTTTCCAGATATTTTAAACTACAACTCCAATCAGCCCCAGCTAGCATGGTGATGGGAGTTGTAGTCCAAACATTGAGGAACAGGCATTTTGTTCTGTTTTTCCCATGGGGGTGGGCATCATTTCATCATTATTATTATTTTTGCCTCAGGTCACAAATTCTCCTAAGTTCCCTCTGCTTTATCCTTCTTCACTACCCCACAATAAGCTTTCCAAAAAGAAATCATTTCAAGAGGCAGAAGTATTTCACAGAATGGTCTGCCTGAGGCCAGGGCTGTTGTCAAAGGTTAGCGTCAAGCACATTATTGCTATTATTATCATTATTAATTGTTTTAGAATGATGGGCAGCCCTCAAAAAGTGCTTGAATGCCACAACGCTCTCGCCACTTCCAATTCTCATCAACTGCTCCACAGAGACAATCCTGAACCAGATGGACCAATGGTCTGATTTAGCATAAGGCAATTTCTTGGGTCCCAAATGGCTGTTCACTATGGAAGGAGCTTTAGTGCATAATAACAGACTGCTGGAGGGACGCGGGTGGCGCTGTGGGTTAAAGCCTCAGCACCTAGGACTTGCCGATCGAAAGGTCGGCGGTTCGAATCCCCGCGGCGGGGTGCGCTCCCGTCGTTCGGTCCCAGCGCCTGCCAACCTAGCAGTTCGAAAGCACCTTCGGGTGCAAGTAGATAAATAGGGACCGCTTACCAGCGGGAAGGTAAACGGCGTTCCGTGTGCTGCGCTGGCTCGCCAGATGCAGCTTGTCACGCTGGCCACGTGACCCGGAAGTGTCTGCGGACAGCGCTGGCTCCCGGCCTATAGAGTGAGATGAGTGCACAACCCTAGAGTCTGGCAAGACTGGCCCGTACGGGCAGGGGTACCTTTACCTTTACTTTTAACAGACTGCTGGATCAGGCCTGCGGCCCATTTAGTCCAGCGTCGGAGAAGAGGCATGGAGATGCAATTAGCCGTAACTCTTACTACTATGGGACGCGGGTGGTGCTGTGGGTTAAACCACAAAGCCTGGGACTTGCTGATCAGAAGGTCGGAGGTTTGAATCCCCGCGACGGGGTGAGCTCCTGTTGCTCGGTCCCAGCTCCTGCCAACCTAGCAGTTCAAAAGCACGTCAAAGTGCAAGTAGATAAATAGGTAAGGTAAACGGCGTTTCTGTGCGCTGCTCTGGTTCGCCAGAAGCGGCTTAGTCATGCTGGCCACATGACCCGGAAGCTGTACGCCGGCTCCCTCAGCCAATAAAGCGAGATGAGCGCCAGAACCTCAGAGTTGGCCACGACTGGTTAGGGGTCCCTTTACCTTTACCTTACTACTATATCTCACCAGAAGCATACCTAGGCTCCTTTTTGCTCTTGCCAAAGAGCTGTATCAGAGCTCTCCTCCCATTCCTTGAACCCTTGGCAAGTAGCTCCACCAAGGCACCCAGAGGAGCCAGTGCCCAGAGCAGCAGAGGAGCAGCCCAGGAAATACAGGGGGAGGAGGGGCAGGCAGGCTCCTAATGACACCAAGCCCAAGTGGAGAGCAGCAGTTTTTGTAACCCCCTGGGCATGGGCATAGCCAGGATTTTTGTGGGGGGGGCATGTCTTTTGTTAGAGGGGGCAGAACTTCAGTTTGCTATGTATTTTTATTGATTTTTATTTATTGGGGGGGCAGCTGCCCCTCCCTGCCCCCCTTGGCTACACACATGCCCCTGGGCCTGCGCCAACCCTTAGGTACACCCCTGCAGCTCACTTTAACAGAGTCCTGCCAGCTTCCTCAGCGAGGAAATGTGAGGAAGGGCGCCCCACCATCAATCAAGTCCAGCAGAGCAATGGCCTTTCCCAGGCCATGGCTTTAAGAGCAGCAGAAGCAGCTGGGATAGGAGGAGTCCACAAGTAATAATAATAGCAATAATAAATTTAGAAGTTATATGAATCTGTTGCTCAACTAAATCTTTTTACTCTTTACTTTTATGTATTGCTGTATTTTGTGCATTGTGAGTTGCTGTTATTTTTAATGATTGTAGTTTAGTAATGAGCTAGACTGGTGACTGGGAGCGGCCGCAGAGACCACATAACACTGGTCTTGAAAGACCTACATTGGCTCCCAGTATGTTTCCGAGCACAATTCAAAGTGTTGGTGCTGACCTTTAAAGCCCTAAATGGCCTTGGTCCAGTATATCTGAAGGAGCATCTCCACCCCCAACGTTCTACCCAGACACTGAGGTCCAGCACTGAGGGCCTTCTGGCGGTTCCCTCACTGCGAGAAGCCAAGTTACAGGGAACCAGGCAGAGGGCCTTCTCGGTAGTGGCGCCTTCCCTGTGGAACACCCTCCCACCAGATGTCAAAGAGAACAACAACTACCAGACTTTTAGAAGACATCTGAAGGCAGCCCTGTTTCGGGAAGCTTTTAATGTTTGATGTATTATAGTATTTTAATATTCTTTTGGAAGCCGCCCAGAGTGGCTGGGGAAGCCCAGCCAGATGGGCGGGGTATAAATAAATTATTATTATTATTATTATTATTATTATTATTATTATTATTATTTATTTACATCGTTGAGAATAAATTCCTGTTTATCGGCTTGTATGTTGAGAATTTATTTTATTGTGTACTATCATATGCTAATGGACTATTGAACATTTTTTAATATAAAGTCTTTTTTGTTGTTGTTATGACTTATTTTCATTGGATGGGATTGTTAGATGATTGATTTCTGCGGCATATTCCCCTATTTCTCATGCCTGCCAACCCCCTCGCGTACAGCAACGCAGAAAGGCGGTATACAAACTAAAAGAGAAAACGAAATGAAAACCCTGCGCTCCCCGCGGCCACCCAAGTGTTTCTGGGAATCCCGCTGTATACACCGGAACCCTGAGAGGAAATCCTAGGGAGTTTCCACCAGAGAAAGAATCACGTCACTCTCAGGCCCTTCCCCTTTTCCCTGCCTGCCGGCCTGCCTGTGTTTACCCACGCAGCCCGTGCACATGGCTCCTTCCCTTCTCTGATTGGCCGGGGCTCCCGGGTCTGCCGCGGCGTCTCCAATGGCGGCGCTGTCCACGCGCCGAGGCCTGCCAAGCGGTTGGCCGCGGCGCCCCGATCACGCCGCTTGACGCCAGGGGCTGTCACGGGCGCAGCCAATCAGGCGAGAGGGCCTGTGGAGGGAGGCTGAGGCGAAACTCCCCGTTCCTTCCTCGTCTGCCTTCCCCCTCAGAGGGTTGAGGCGCCGGCGCCGGCGGTGTCCGTCGTCGTCGTCGTCCGGGCAGGGGGGCCTGAGGCGCGTCATGGCGGCCGAGGAGTCGTCGTCGTCGTCTGTGGTGAAGGCGCAGCTGGCCTTGTCTCTGTCGGAAGCGGCGGCGGGCGGCTACAGCGGCGGCGAGACCGTGTCCGGGCGGGTGGTGCTGGAGGCGGCGGCGCCGCTTCCCCTCCGCGCCCTCCGCCTCGAGGCCACCGGGCGCGCCAGAGCCGCTTGGGGCGAGGGAGCCGCCGCTGTGGCCGCCGCCGCCGCTTCTCCCTCAGCGGCAGCAGGAGGGGGCCCGGGGGCCCGGCTGGAGGCGGAGGTGCCCTACTTGGACGTCCGGCAGCACCTGCTCGGGCAGGACCCGCCCCCGGCAGGTGAGAAGGAGGCAGGAAGCGGTCCATGGCGTGGGGAGGGGAGGCTTGGCTTGGTCGGGGTCTTGGGTTGCGAGGGGTCGCTTGGAGGGGGCCAGAAGGGAGAGAACAACATATCGGGGTGACAACCTTTATAATATGTGGGGGTGGGCAGGTAAGCCCCGCCCCACATAATCGATCAGAGCAGCATTTGAATGGTAATGCCCATCAACCTGGGGGGCAGCCCCCTCAAATATATTATGGGGGGTGTGGAGTGACGTCGGCCTCTAGGGGGTTGCCTCCTATGGAACAGATCTATTGTCTGATTTTGTTCAGAATATTAATAATGTTGGCATTGTTAATAGCGCGCTCGCTGCAAGTTGGTGTTTGTTTGTTATTGTTTTTGTTTTAAGGCATTTGCGCCCTGCTTAATTTCTCGCATTCCTAAGCAGTTTGCATGAAGTTTACATAAGGGACCAAGTGTGGTGTGAGGGAAGGTTCAGGTTCAAATCCCCTCTTGGTCATGAAGCTCAGTGGGTGAACTTGGGCAAGTTGCTCTTGCAGCCTAACTAATCTACCTCACAGGGTTGGGAGGAAAAGATGGGGTGCAAGGGGGAGAACTGCGTGTGCCACCTTGAGCTGCTTGGAGGAAAGGTGGAGTATAAATATATGTAAATGAAACTAGGGGTCACAACGTGTAGGAGGGGCTGGGATGAGGTTGGGGACTGCAAGTGGTAGCTTTTTAAAAAACCATGAGTACTGAGTGAAACATTACTCATTAATTTCACTGCGTGCACTTATGTAAAACTTAAGTTTTACAACTCTCTTGGGTGCCAACATCAGCAGAGGGTTGTTCCTCTGCCCTCAGAAACTTGGAGAGGGAACATTATCTGTGGCAGCCCCTAAGTTGTGGGAGATCCCTCGCCAAGGAAGTGTGCCATTCACCTTCATTATACAGCTGTTGTGCTCACACCCTCCTTGTGGGTTTCATAGAAGCATCTGATTGGCCATTGCAGAAAGCAATATGCTGGACTCGATGGACCTTTGATCAGATGCAAGAGGGCTCTTGTGTTATTATTCCAAGCTTACTGGCAAAGGTGTTTGCCAACCCTAAATAGAGATGACAGGGATTTAATTTGGAATGTTCTGCATGCAAAGCAGATGCAGTATTGTTGAGGTATAGCTCCTCTCCTTTATAAGAACACAGGAAGCTGCACTATGCAAAGTCAGACCATTAGGCCAGGAAGGAGGATTGCGTGATAGTTTATAAGTTTCTAAACTTGAGTGGTTTTAAAAAATTAAAAAATATAAGCAAAAAATCATAACCAATTTTAAACAACAATTATCAGTTCATGCAAACACAAACCAGCATAAATACAGCATCATAAAATCAATTTAATAGTGACATGAAGCAGAAATATCCAGTAAAACCATGCCACTCAAATTCTCAGAAAGCACCTGAACCATGCCAGAAAGAAGTTGGCAATTTTAGTTCTGGGCCATCATGTGAAATAACACTTGAGAAGATGTTTCTAATAATTGCTTTCCTCCTCCACACTGAAAAACCACATAGTTGTTTGGAACAGGGAGATAGACAGGCCAAGGGCAAGAGTATGACTTGCTGGCACAGGTGTGAAGGAAGTTAGCAAGGGACTACTCACAAGGGTTTGGTTATGGATGACTTCTACTTTTAGGCTGTGTTCCTAGTGGCAATTCTTTCTGTTAGAACTAGGGTTGGACACATCTCCCTGCAGCTGTGAAGTTTACAGTAGCTTGGTGTTAAGTTACTGCAGAAGATCGAAGAAAGAATTTTCTTCCATCCACCTCGGACACTTAAGAAAAAATGTTGTGGTCATTGATGTTCTGCTTCTAGATAAAAACAGTTCAGTACAGTATCTCAGCATATTTCCTTTCTCATTTCAAAGCAATATGAAAAATAGGCTTGTGCAGTTTGTGATCCACCCAGATGCACATAGTGCACCTTTTTTTACCCGCCCCGCCCCCCTGGTGTTGTGTAGCCAGCAAAAAACAAAGGGAGAGGAGATTTATTAAGTCTTGGTGGGTTGCCATACTTGGCTGGTAGGCAACATTCACAATCATGCTGATGATGTAAGAAAGAGTCAAAATTAAATCAAGAAGAGAAATTATCCATAGATTAAAAATCTTATCTATTTAATATCATTCACTGGTAGTGGAAACCACCACAGATGACAGTAAATTTCCCCATTATATTAATAAGACTTTTAATTATGCAAAGTGCTTTAAAGTTTTTGCTGTGTGTGTGATAACTGCTAATACAATCTGAGAGGGGGATTCCTGAAACCAGACTGCTTGACCTTGAAACAAACTGCATGAACTCAGTGGGAGGAAGGGCAGTCACTAAGTGGTAGAGCATTTGCTTTACATGTAGAAGATCCCAGGTTCACTTTCCAGGCAGACCTGGGAAAGAACCCAAAACCCTAGAGAGCTGCTGCCAGTCAGTGTAGACAATACTAAGCTAGATAGACCATTGGTTTGACTTGGTATGAGGCAGCTGCCCATATTCCTAACCTTGATTACTTTTCATTTCTTTTGAAAACCACCCAGATTCATTTGCGACCCACTGACTGAATAAGGAGCCAGACAAAGTTGGTTTGGCTGAAGTAAAGACCACTTTATTAAGCTTAAATGCAACAAACCAGATGATTATCTGCAGAAGGAAACTCCTATAGGTGCAGGAATAAACTGAACCTGCAGCTAATAAGACAAAACACCCTGCCTAGGCAAATGGGCGATCAGATCCCAGCCTAGCAAAGTGACGCAGGGCCCTGTGTAGCTCAGGACTGGTGTCGCTTCGGCAGCAAGGTCTGGGCTGGCACGTGATGGGCTCCATTTGCCCTCTGCGCCCCCACAGTGTGTGCACTCCCTAAGCACCATGAGAACACACGCCGCCACTGTGAATGACCCCACACCCCAAGATCATGTATTTCAGCCTGATTTCCAGGTTAACCTTCCAGGTTCTTATAAATGCCCCTGGGGTTCCCCTGACAGTACCACACCAACCTTGGCAGAATATCAAACCAGACAAGCCTAACCACAGGCCAATGCTGCCTGGTGAACGGGAGGCCTACGTCCTTGCCACCCAAGTGAATTAGCAAGACTTGGGGAGAGTCCCAGATCAGTCCACAATTGAATAAACTTCACAGCAGCTGATCTTCCTGCATGCTATGGTAGCCTAGTGGCTGGACTTTCGCACACCAGCTCAGTCCCAGCTGAGACAAGTTTCTTTTTCCTCTGGCAGTGGATGTGCAGGGAAGTATTCTGGCGGGGGGAGGGCTCCTCCCCTTCCAGCAGGCAGCTTTGAGCTATGGAATGGAAACCCTACATGAATTGAGATTTTATTGTACTGGTTCCTCTGAACATGATATGACATTGAGACTGAGTGGATTGGTTAGATTCTTCACACAATGAAGCTGAGATAGAGCTGAGACTTGAACCTCAGTCTTACAAATCCAGTTCTCTGTTTACTGGCCTGTGCTGGAGTTTTGGGGGCATGAGTACTGAGGGCTAGCCCCACTTAAGTACTTGGGCATGCCCAAGACCTGTTTGAGCCTTTAGAGAACATTCTGGTGGTGGTTATGATGTTCCTTGAAGTATCATCCTGCTCAGTCGCTTGAATTTCTTGCCAGTTCACTCTACAACACTGTTTTCAGGCAAATCCATCTCTGTTTAATTAGAATAGTGTTGATTCTACTAGCTGTAATCAAAGGGCAGAAGTAATTGTGCCTAAATGTCTAGATCAGTCACAAGAGTTGATCAACTTGCTTTCAGCACAAAGCTACTTTGGGCAACACCTTATCATACCAGTCAAAGGACAGATTCTTAAAGTATGTGGGAAGAGGAAGTGCTTGGCTGGGCACATGTGATGTACATCCTTTAGTTACGTTGTTCACCATTGATTCAGAGGAAGGTTCAGACGAATCTTCCAGTTGTTTCTTGAAGCAATTTGTAATCTATTTCCTCTGTGTGGAACAGTTAATTACATGTCTTGTTGGTTTTTAGTGTGGTCATTAAGATTCTTCAACAGACAGGTATGCTGCTGTGCTGTGCACAGCCTACCTTGGGCTTATACTGATTGCTTTAGTTCAAAAAGACTAGAAAGGGCATTTCTTGTTTAGGTACTTCCTGTGATGGCACTGCAGTTGGGAAGGCAATCGAAGAAGTGCATCATGCTAAAATTGCTTTTGTGAAATCCACTGGATTTCTTTCACAAGTTTTAAAAGACTGGCCTTCCCCACCAGTGAGGAAGTGGGAATCTGACAAGAATTTGAGACCAAACTGTAGCAAACAGTTACACTATTCTGTAACCCTGGCTCTTGCACAGGCTGTTACACAACACGTGCAAGTTTCTGCTGTAGCAACAGGCCTAGCCAGTGAACATGGCTTCAGATCCTGTCTAGTAATACTGAGTTAGATAGACTAATGGTCTGACTCAGTAAAGGCGGCTTCCTTTGTTCCTAAAGAATGAAATGCATAGGATTGTAATGTGGGAGCATTGCACCCAGACAGCATCACAAACCATGATGTTGTTGTATTGGTGCAATACAATAGGCTGGACAGTGTGGTGTGGTAGGAATTCGTTCACACTGTTCAGTTTTGTGCAGTTAGTGGTGTGAGTGTGACAACACTTAATATTGAACATGATTCTTAAGTTTAAATGCTACATTACAATGGCTCTTACTTACACTTTGTAAATATGTGTACCTCATAAACACTAAATTTTTATTTTTCATGACAGCAGTAAACACTATCTTCTCTGTCCTTTCTTCTTACTTTCTTCTATTACAAAGTTGTTTAGCTGTTCACTCATTAACAAAAGCATTATTCCCATATATTTCTTAGGTTGGAGACAGGCAATAGTTTCAAATGTGATTCACAAGAGAGAGCACTGCTTGTAGCATGCACCCACATATCACATTTGCTTCTGGTAATCAAGTGTTTGTATTGCTTGTATAAGGGGAGACAGTGGGATGCAAGAAAGTGAATTCTAACCCAAGCCATTTTGCATCCTTTAGCAAGTTCTGCAGTAGCTCTTGGTCATAGATGAAGCACAATAGGAGTCCTCTTCAAAGTGGCACCTAAGTAATAGGTAAAGGTAAAGGGACCCCTGACCGTTAGGTCCAGTTGCGGATGACTCTGGGGTTGTGGCACTCATCTCGCTTTACTGGCCGAGGGAGCTGGCGTACCAGCATGACTAAGCCGCTTCTGGCGAAACCAGAGCAGCGCACGGAAACGCCGTTTACCTTCCCGCCGGAGCGGTACCTATTTATCTACTTGCACTTTGATGTGCTTTTGAACTGCTAGGTTAGCAGGAGCTAGGTTGGCAGGAGCTGAGCAACGGGAGCTCACCGCGTCACAGGGATTTGAACCGCCGACCTTCCGATCAGCAAGCCCTGCTTCCCGCATCCCCTAAGTAATAGATTGCCTTAATTCTGCAGTTTGTGTGTTCAAAATCATTATGATCTATAATTTTTTCAAAAAGTGGGAGGAAAAAGCCAACCACGTGTCTTCTTTTCCCTGTAGGTGATGAGGGCTTAATCCTGTTAGAAGCCGGAAAACATGAATACCCTTTCAGCTTTCAACTCCCCCAGCAGTAAGTGATGTAGCATAATTTGACATATTGGTTTTTATTGTTTTCTTGAAAACTATCTAGGGACACTTCAGAAATAACAGAAATATATATATATATAGATTATACTTGGTGATCCAAATTCTGTCCATATATTGATTTTGTTTGGTTTGTATCTTTTTAGAGTTTAAAGAAAGTGCTTTATTCACCAGTAGTTGAGAACTGTAGAGCCTTGGGAGCGAGTATTTAGGCTTTAGTACTCTCCTGCCCTTTTTCCTATTAAATGAATCAAGCAGGATGACCTGATGCAAGCAGTTGAGATGGGGCAGAGGTAAAATGCAACATAAGATACAAATGTGCCTCTTGCAGTACTGTTTTATCTTGCGCTCACGGGCTGAAACAAATTGTGATGGAGGAGGATATGAGAAGGCAGCAGGTCAATGTAAGCAGCTTAATTTTTGCAGTTGGTAAAGCTGAAGCAGTTGAATAGCATTGATACAGAGTTTTGTGAAACTGTAAATACTGTTTGTATGGGAATTGGGTAACCTTTGACCCTCCAGATGCTGTTGGATTCCAGTTTCAGTCACCCCTGATCTTTAGCCATGCTGGCTGGGGCTGATAGGAGTCCAACAACATCTGGAGGGCTCAAGTCTCCATCCCTGGGCTAGGGCATAAAGAGAAATGTGTTCTCTTTATAAGGAGAGGGGACAGAAAAATGTGGATAGTAAGATGGTGGATGACCTAGGGCAGGGGTCTGCAACCCACGGCTCCGGAGCCGCATGTGGCTCTTTTACACCTTTGCCGCAGCTCCGGGGTGGATACTAGCGAGGGGAGGAGGCACATTGTGCGCCCCGACACTCCCCACTGTGGCGGGCGCTGTACTGGCTGTGACGTCGCATGGGGGCGGTGCGTGTGTTAGTCACGCACTGTCCTGACGTCACCTTCCCGCCCGCTGTCAGATCGGACATTAAGGTAAGAAACAATATATGCAGTGTTATATTTGTTTTAAATGTCGCGATGGTTTTGCGGCTCCCAGGTTTTTTTTCTTCGGAAACGGGTCCAAGTGGCTCTTTTTGTCTTAAAGGTTGCAGACCCCTGACCTAGGGAGAGAGAAGGTTATTCCTGTAGATATTTTTCTCCCTGATAGCAGAAGCTTCTTTATCCCATGCCTTCAGCAGGCAACACCTGTGCCTTTTATCACAATCATGAAGCCAAAAAAGTATGGTTGAACAGTTGACCAGTCAAAAAACAGTTGATCAACAGACCAATCAAATAATGGTCAAGTGTGTTTTAAAGAGGTAACTTCTTAGAAGAAAGGTAACAACTCTACAGTGTAAAGCTAACCCCTAAATCTGCTGGCTGGGAGAATTAAGACGTGTCAAAGACCCCTCTCTGGCATCCTGGGAAGGTGGCAGTGCATGTCTGCCTCAGAGGCCAGTGGAAAAACACCACAAGTGTAAATTATCACTGGTAGTGTGTTACCAGGTGAGGCCCTGAAACAGGACATTCTGGGGTGGGGCAGAGGCTGGATCAACCACCCTTTTAATTCTCCAAAAGAATTGTACTCACTCACTTAATTCCCCCCATCCTTGGTTTAGCAGGAATGTTTCATAAAATGGGCAAAACAGAAGAAAAGTGTGCGTGTGTGCATGTGTGTGCGCGCGTGTATGCATGCATGTATAGACCATAGCTGTCAACTTTCAGATTTGAAAATATGGGATCAGCAGCCTCACCTGTCCCGGGGACAGTCTACGGGATATCTAACAATCCGGGGAAGCAGCGGGAAACGGCGCTGGAATAAGGGAATTTCCCACCAAAAAAAAGGGAAGGTTGACAGCTATGGTATAGACAGACAGACATGTACTACACTGACTGGCACAAGCATGCAAGACTTTGGAGTTGGGTGATCCATCCCTTCGCTTTCCACCCACCATCCCACTTAGAATTGATCTGCCCATTGTCAAATGGTTTGATGTATATTCTAATTACAAAATTATTATAGTGGTACAATGAAATTAACTTTTACCAGTATTTACAACTTTTAATAAATTGACTTCTGGCAATGTTAGATTAGTTCTGTAGAAATGTGAATGATTCGCTGAGCAGTTAAGCCATATTCAGATATTTACTTGTTCACATGATGAGAACAGGGACACACTTGCTGGCCCTGAACCATCTATTATGTCCTTGGCTGTATATTGAGAATCTAGGCATGTAGACACCTTATGCAATTCAGAATCCTGAATGAAAGGTGATTTAAATAACATTGGGAGACTATACTTATAGAGCAGTTTCCCTGCTTTTTCCTCTAGCACATGGATGCATCTAGCACATAGTAAATGGGGATGGGATGCAACAGCTGGACTAAACAGGATTTATTTTGTTGGCTTTTGTCCTGTACACCAGACTTGACGTACAAAATTATCCAAAATAATGCAATTAAAACAATGATGTTTCCATCAATGGCTGTTTGTGTTACTGCTTAAAGAAACCTTCAGTTGCAGCAGGTTGTCAGAGGAAGTTTTCTGCAATTCTTGTTTCTGCCCCCTGACTACTGCACAGCTAGGAGGCAAACAGTCCTCTCCTGTGTTTGCAAACAAATGAACCTATAGGGAAATGATACAAGTAAACTGCCACCCAAACAATAGCAATCTTGTGCTCATTGATTTTTTTTTATCCACCTGTTGGTCAAATAGGTGGTAAATACACTGGCATGCCAATCCTGTTACAAAGTATTTTGATGACGCCTAAGATGTGCAGGAAGCTCAAATGCTGCTTGGCATAGTTTTGCTCATTCACAGGCCCATATAATGCATACAGTCAATCTTAAAACTGTTTTGTCATGCCCTAGCTTCTCTTAAACATGCCTGCTTGGTTTATGTTGCTTATGCCATGGCATTCTAGCAAGAAGGTGGTTGACCATGCATTTGTTAAGTCTACCTCTGAGAAAGGTGCCAAACTTGTAAATGGGTATTTTGTTTTGTTTTGTGTCCAGACCTTTAGCAACCTCTTTCACGGGCAAATATGGCAACATCCAGTACTGTGTGAAAGCAACCCTGGAAAGGCCAATGGTCCCTGATCAAACTGTGAAGAGAGAGTTCCAGGTTATCAGCCACATAGATGTCAATTCACCCGTTCTACTGGTAAGAGCAGATCTAGCTGTGCTCTACGTGCTATTAACCCTCAGCTATAACCAGGTCTGTGATATTTTGGTCTGTAACTTTGCTGACTTTTCAAATGCATGTAAGCTCCCTTCTAAGCTTCCTCTATAAATAGATAGCCTTTAGGCTGCATGGATTGCCAACAGTTTTTTGTTGCTGTTTAATACCATTGATTACATCCCTGCTGGCACAGCTGTTTCTGCCAAAAGTTGGGGCAGGATTGACATGCATTAATAACAATAACACAAAGCCTAAAGTACTTTATATCAGAGTAGCTACATTTATATGGCTGCAAAGACTGACACTCTCTCAGTAATACTAGGCTATAAGTGGAACCAGAATAAAAAATATTGTAGTGTGAAGTACAGTACGGCTGTTCCGGATTCCAGCCACTCTGTTCCATCCCGCCACCCCACCCCCTGGTTTTCTGTTTCCTCAACAGCCAGCCAGTCACTCATATGTATTTGTTAGAAACCATTGGTCATCACAAAAATAACGTGTAAAAGTATATTTTGGCACAGGTGGTCCCCAGCTGGTCAACATTCCACTGAGCACACTCACTCCTCATTGGGCTGTTTTGGGTTTTTCCCATACCCCCCTGGGGTTTTCCCCCCCTAAAGTTGTTTCATACTTCTGCAAATTTTCCAGCTGCTTGTTGGGTGGTGGTGCTGTCGTGGCTATGCAAGCAATAGTATTTGCAGCCTGAATATCAGAGATAGAGGGAATGATAGAACAAGCATTATAGTGAACTATTTATCATTTCTACCCTGTGATTTAAGCTCTGGTTTTCATCCTATACATCCTTCCATTTTGCATTTCTTTTTCCAGCATTACGTGTATAGATGCAGCTGTCTCAGATCTTCTGTTATTAATATTATGGATTTACTCACATTTAAAGCATTGGGCTTCTCATGATCAGTGGAATTATTACAGAATATAAGATCAGTCTAAAGTAACAGAATGGAAGTGGGCTGAATTCCCATTCCATCTAAACATAAAATGAGATCTTCCCTTCTTATTATAGGACCTAAGATCTAATAACTGCTTGCTTAAATCTGATTCTGTGATTTCTGCTTCTCAGGAAATGCTGGAACCATTTTATGTTTTCATCATAATGCTAATGTAGCAAGTATTCTGTGCTCTTGGTATTCAGCATTGTTTTCCCCCTGCAGCTTTTGCTTCTTGTTAGATTGATGGTTAGGACTGGATGTATTATTTGCCCATTGTGTAAAGGAGAGGTGGAGAACTTGTTACTCTCAAGGCATTGTTAGATTCCAACTACCATCACCCTCAGCCAGAATGGACCAATAACCAGGAATGATGGGAGTTGTAGTTGGCTGGTCACATGTTCCCCACCCCTTATAATAAAGTATAACATTCTTGCTGAATACAAATCAGGTTCAATGATTAGAAACTATGCAAGATTTAAAGGTGAATAGCATTGTCTCCTCCTCCTCTCTGTATTTTTTGATACGCCATATCTGCCACTGTACCATCAGTGTATATATACCTGCCTGCCCAGCTCTCTTCTCTTCCCCCCTGCACCTTTTATTTGAACAAGCCTTTGCTAATGCTTACATGAGAACTTGCTCAGCCAGAATATGTGAAGCATTCAAGTGTTACTAAAGTGCCTTACTCACCAAATAACCATTTCATTTGGCATAGCTTTCAAACTCCATACAAAAGCAGTTTTCAGTCTGTTTTCCTTAGAACAACTTCAGCTTCTGCAGCAAAGAGTTCACCTTACACCCTTACCTATGATTCAGTCTGAGAGCAAGGAAAATGTTTGTTTGTTTACAAATATATATATTACAGTGGTACCTCGGGTTACAGACACTTCAGGTTACAGACTCCGCTAACCCAGAAATAGTACCTTGGGTTAAGAATTTTGCTTCAGGATGAGAACAGAAATCGTGTGGCGGCAGCGGGAGACCCCGTTAGCTAAAGTGGTACCTCAGGTCAAGAACAGTTTCAGGTTAAGAATGGACCTCCATAACATATTAAGTTCTTAACCCAAGGTACCACTATCTATTTATATATAAAAGCACCTGAAAATTTGAAAAACAGAGCACAGAAGATCCACTGATTCTCAGTCCAGTAGCCTTCAATTGGCACAAAATAAATAACATTTACAGGGCTCTTTGCAATACAAAGCAGAAAGCTTCTGAAGAAAAGGTATTGACTTGATGGTTGACGTGCATTTGATCAGCACTGAACTAAGAGATCCACTCTCTGTGCATGCACACCCACAGAGAGAGAGGGGGAGAGTTTTTAAAGGGTTGCAATCACACTTGGAAATTACTCTGAGTCATTCTGGAAGAAATTTCCTAGTTGTCAGTAGTTACCAGGTAATATATAAATGAAAAGCCTACAATTGTTCATGACATTTAGTATCGCTTAAATGATATATGGATCCAATTTTGAATTTTGTTCTTCACACTTCAGTGGATGGCTGAACCAAAATCCAGTGTGTTATTTTTATGTATAAAGTAGGTTGAGTATAACCTTGTTTCCAGAAGTGTGTATATTTTTACATGAATGTCTGGTCCAAGGGACCCAAAGGACAGTTCTCAACGTCCTCAAGGCTTGGTTGTTCCAGTGAGTTTGGCTAGGAGTCTGATGTTCCTAATCAATGTGTCATACCACAAACTACTCCTGTAATACTTTTCTCTTTCAAAATTAGCTTGCCTTCCAGCAGGGAGCTGCTATTTGAGAAACACAGGTCCAAAAACCTCCTTGGACATGTAGAACTAACTGTCATGTTATTTGGATCCTGACCCCCCTCTGCATAATATTGACTGGAAATTCTACCTGTCCCTCCCCCTCCCCCACACCCGAATGACTTAATGGAGTATGAGCCAGTTCTGTACCCTTTAACTTTATTCAGTGTAATAAGTTATTTTAGTGAAATGAGTTTTTACAACTTATGAAATGTCAGATCAGCAGGAAAGACAGACTTGGGTTAGCATTAAGGAAGATCTGATAACAGAAGCCATGCAAAGGAACAGATTGCTAAGGGAATCTTTTTTTATGGAAGGTCACTCACAAGTTTGAGTGGTGGGGGAGTGGCTTAAACTAAAATACCTATGAGGTTCTTTCTGAATCTGTGACATTTGCTTGGCTTTGTGCTTCTTAAAATTCACTCCTGTTACACAATAATTATGCCCTCGTTTTGTCTGTAAAATATGTACTGCTGTTCTGGTACAGTAGTTCGAAATGGCCCAGAGAGAGGTAGATGAAAGCCAGTGGAGCTGTAGCTCAACCTCCTGCTGTTGCTGTTAAATCTATAGCAAGTACAGTTCACTGTAGCAAATGCACTGTAGCAAATGCACAACTGCATTGTGTCTCTGGTCATTCTCTCTTTTGTGTAGGATGCCTTCAGTTTGCTTGAACTTTCATGTTAGTTTTCTTAAGTTAGCCTAGTAGGGCTTAGCACAGGTGATGTTAATATTACCTCAAGTAACTCTCCTAACCTTGTTGGCTGCATATTTTCATTACTTCAAAGTTAATTAAAAATGTTAGTCACACTTGTTTTCTGATGTGTAGTTAATTCAGCCCTGTAACATAACTTGCCAAATACTGTAACTGCTTTACCCAGCTGAATAGGTTGTGCAGTTTGTTTGGTTTTGTTTCTCAAGTCTAAACGTAACATTTGAACTTCCATACATTATTATGAAATGGTAATATAAACTAGTTGAGACTGCTCACTAAAACAATATCCTCTTTGGCCAAAGCACCAGTGTGCCTCCTCTTGTTGGCAACAGCCTTTGGGCATTGAAAAAACAGTTTTGCGGGCAGGGTTTTTTTCCAGAGCAGCTTCCCATTAGGTGTACCTTAGGAAATCACATACACAAACCCACTTATGGTAACACAAAATCCACTCACATATAAGGATGCTAGAGTATTTGAAATTAATGCAGTCATCTCTGTGTTGTGTGTTTACCATATCTATGACTGCTTCCCATATTTGTTCCTGCTTGATAAATCTGGTAACACTGAAACAATAAAAAGTCGCATGACTTTGGTTAACTTTCAAGTGGGGTCATTTTTCTGTCTGTAAAGTATTAATTGACTGCTGTCCCTTTTGACCACCCCATTCTAATATTTGTAAGAATGTGAACAAAAATGAACTTGCATTTTGCAGCATAGCATAAGGTAGTAGTTCATAAAATTGTGTAAACTGGACTGGTTGTGTGCCATTTGATTCTTAGTAGGCTTGAGTTCTAAATCAATTCCTGAGGGATTCAGTAACCTTCCGTTTCAAAATTAACCACTGTCTACAGAGACTCCTTTATGCATTTTCTCATTTGGGTCCATTTAGATGGAGGAAAGCATGTCATCCCATTAAAATAAAATAATATGCTGTTGAGGGTTGGCAGAAGCTTTATCCCTTCCAACCATAGAGAATGGAGGGAGATGCATTTTCTGCCCGTGTAATTGCTGCCTCTGCTTCACACCTCTGTCTTTGCCTGCTGAGTGAAGAAATCTTACATATGCATGGTCTCAGTGGATCACTCTCACATTGTGTTGCTCCAAACAAATAAATATTTAGGATCAATTATAACAACAAGAGAGTAGTATTACACAGTGACTTGGTACTTTGCACATGTGGCCACTAATGTCATTTAAATAATAGTAATTGATATGAACATCTGGATAGTAAATTTGAATTGCTAACCTGGGATGCCTAGTTACTGCAGCAGAGAGCAATGAGACTGCAGTGATTGCCAAAAGTGTGTATATGCAGAGATGCCATGTGGAATAAAAATGGGAAGGGGACATGTCTTCTCCAAAAAGAATTACACTCACTTTGGAGCTGTCTGAGAGAATGCAAATCCTGTTTGCCTCATATGGAGCAGTAACCTGTTAAAGTGGATTGTGGTGTGCCACATGGGTAGAGCTATCTGCTTTGCCTTCCTTGCCATGTGATGGCTACTGCCAAAGCTAATGCCATTGTGCATCTCGCCTTAACTTACCTCACTTATCTCAAGCTGCACATTTCTGCACAGACTTTTGTGGGTTGAATATGTTATATTGGTTTAATTATATTGAGCTGTATATAGCTTGCTCAGAGACCACATGGGTAAAGGACAAACTATAAATGCCTGTAAATAAACAAACTCTTAATTGGTGAGTCAAGCACAGGTGAATTGCTGGTACCTGTGGGTTTGAAACCACTATTCTTTTAATCATTTTTTATTCTTTTTTACAGAGCCCTGTAAGACGAAGCCAGGAAAAGATGATTGGATGCTGGTTTTTCACTTCTGGCCCAGTTTCCCTCAGTGCCAAAATAGAGAGGAAAGGCTATTGTAATGGCAAGTATACCTTCTTCAGTAAGACTGAAACTGGATATTAGGTTGATAAATACCAAGTCCCACCCCTCTGTCAAGATCCTATTATCCCAAATTCCTATTGGGGGTGGAATTTTCTTGGAAGTGTTGACAAGTGGGATGGAAGGGCTCAAGCATTTCCACATCAGCTGGTTTTCTTCAAAAAAATATCTCCACTCTGCAGCTCTCACTCTGTTCTGCTGTTTTCAGAGCCAGAGTTAGGAAAAATGTGATTTAGATGGTCTAGGATGAGGGCACTCGCAGAGTAGAATTCGTGGGCAGAGGAACAGCTAAGGACCTCCCCTCCCCAATCCTCCTGTTCTCCTTTGCAGGTGTCCTTCTGCTTCTATATTAGTGTTGGAATGCCATGTTTTCCCCATAACATCAATGCCCTATCTAAAAAGCCTCAGGTTTTGTCGCTTTAAGAGGGAAAAGGTTAAGTAGAAAGCCAAATAAATGATTATTAAAATCATTGTAGATACGTATACAAATGTAGGACTATTCATGGTGCTTGTTGCCACAATAAACATAGGAAGTTTTTTTCTAAACATTATAAACTTGCAACAGAAGGAAGAAAAATAATTTGCATCATGTGATGAATGAAGTTCTTTGTCACTCAAGTACATCATAATGTTTGGTAATTAATTCGTTCTTTGTGAAATTCTTTCTTTCTTTCTTTCTTAGGTGAAGCAATACCAATTTATGCAGAAATTGAGAATTGTTCCTCTCGCTTAATTGTTCCAAAAGCTGCTATTTTCCAAACACAGACTTATCTGGCTAGTGGGAAAACGAAAACTTTTCGGCAGATGGTCGCCAATGTGCGAGGAAACCATGTTGCTTCTGGGAGCACGGATACCTGGAATGGGAAAACTTTGAAAATTCCACCTGTCACCCCTTCTATCCTTGACTGCTGTATTATCAGAGTTGAATATTCCTTAGCTGTAAGTGTGGCTTTTCACCATTTAATTTAAGGTTTGAAGACACTATTACTGTAACTAAACAGACTTAAATTCGGGCATACTTACCTTTTACTAAATCTTCCTAAGCATTGCTTGCTCCTTCAGAGAGTTTGAATTGTTCTGTATGTCCAAAAGTAGTAGGCTAACATTTAGCTGCTGGAATTTTAAGGGGTTAGGAGTCCACAACTGAAGTGGTTGAGATGGGGTTAAAATGGCTGGAAGGTAATGTTGAAAGTAGGAAACAAAGCCAAATTCCTGAAACAGGGTAGATGTATATGAATGACAGCACAGTTATATGTGCTTAACCCCCAAATAGCGATAAAGGAAGAATCCTGCGAGCGTAGTTTCCAAAGTGAACACATCTGACCTCATCCACCCAAACCAATGTGCAGATCAGATAAGGAGTCTGTTTCAGAAGCTGCACATGGCTGGATTTGTAGATACCTTGTAGCTCTCCATAGGTATGAGGTGGCCTGAGGGCTGCCTCCCTCTTTTCTAGATATTTTATTATTGTCATCATGATTTCTTAAATTTGCATACCGCCCTACATGCATAGATCTCAGGGTGGTTCACAATAAAATTACTACAGGCAACAGCTGGCAGCCAGTGGTGTCTGGCCAGGATCAGTGCAATATGCTCAAACTGTCTTGCCCCTGTGAGCAACCTGGCCACTGTATTCTGCACTAGCTGCAGTTTCTAAACCATCTTCAGAGGCAGCCCTAGGTATCATGCAGTGCAAAAATCTTACCTAGAGGTTACCAGAGCATAGACAATAGTAGGCTATTCCAGATAGGGGCACAGCTGAGCCACCAGCCACCTGAGCCTCAAGTGTCAGCAAAGAATGCAGAAGTACCCCCAAGCTGCATAGCCGCTCCTTCAGAGGGTGTGTAGCCCCTTCAAGAAGCCCTGTGCACTGCCTAGCTGCTAGTCTAGGTGCTTGGAAGAAGCTTTTTAAAACAACTGGAGTGAAGACAGGCAATCCTCAGGCCACCTCATACATATGAAGATCTTTAACCACCTTGTGTTGTTTTTTAACTTGTAAACAGCATTTACCCCTCCCTTTTAAAAAAAAAGAAATCTGTGAATTTCTTCTAAAACTATGTGGGACTAGGATGGGGCAGATTGTAGTTTCAGCCTTTGCAGGATTGGTGCAACCCTAATCCAAAACTGTTGGGTTTATGGAAAATTTCTGATCTTGCCTTTGGATACATTTGTAGTGCTAGGTTTGGCTCCTCTCTGACAGATTCTGTGAAATTGTGTCTCTCTCTCATCACAGGTGTACATTCATATTCCTGGTGCTAAAAAGTTGATGCTTGAGCTGCCTCTAGTGATTGGCACAATTCCATGTACTGCATTTTCCAGCAGAAACTCCAGCCTTGCCAGCCAGTTCAGCATGGATATGAGCTGGTTGGCACTATCAATGCCAGAACATCCAGAAGGTACAATTTTGGGTTATGAGATTGGTGTCTGTATTATTCTGGCTGGGTTGTTGTTGTTTTTCTTGCAGTAGCAGGAGCTGCTATATACATTGCAAAAATAAGTTGTGAAGCTCTCATGAAGTGAACTAGAGCCAATGTAAAAAGTCATAGATAGTTCCAGAGGCAGGGCAGGGGGACATGCAAGTGCTTATTTATTCTTTTAACCCACCTAGAAACATACTTTACCCTTTTGGGGGGGCCCTCCATTCCCCCCCCCCCGTGCCTCCACTGTAGTAAATTGACTGTTGGGCTTGAACTGGGGAGGTTTTTGTCAACTTAAACCAGAGATGGTAAAACATGTGGCCCTCCAGATATTGCTGGACAACCAACTCCCATCAGCCCCAGCCAGCAAGGCCAGTTATCAGGGATGATGGGAGTTTCAGTCTAGTAGCAACTGGAAGGACATAGGTTCCCCATTCCTGCCTTAGGCCAGCTGATGTTTTGTCAGATGAGTATGAGAAGAAAATGCCATGCTGGGAAAGGAAGAAATACGAGTACATTAAGTAATAATAAATCATGAAATCCCTCTGGTTTGTCACAAGTATATCATTGAAACAGAAAGTAATACCTGTATTCATATTCCAGTGCTTCTTAAGTGATTCATCATTTACACTAAAATCTCATTTGTGTTGTTGGTCATCAGCCATCATAGAGTAGGGCTTAGGAGAAGATTCATCTGCAGAAGAGAACCATGGAAGTAGTAGCTAATGTATGTTTTAAAAAATATTTTCTTTTGCTAGCACCGCCCAATTATGCCGATATCGTGTCAGAGGAGGAGTTCTCAAGGCATGTTACTGCTTATCCACAACTACTTGACTGCAATGAAGAACTATGCTGCCCTATGTTGGCCTACATTCAGGAGTTCCGGTTTCAGCCCCCACCTCTCTATTCAGAGGTAAAGCAAGATCCCTGAGTGCAACTTCTGTCTAAATCTACCAAAAAAAGTTTATATTAACTTAAGAATCCCAAGCAGTAAAGTGTATTTATTTTCTCTGCAGATTGACCCACATCCTACTGAGGTGGAAGACAGACAGCCAGTTTCAATAATGGCTTAAGGATGATTGAGAAAGCTGCATCTTGATCAGATGGAATATCTTGATTTTGTTTTCTACAGCCTAAAAGTTTTTTTAAAGCAATTTATTGCTTAAAGTTATCAAGGCAACTGAAACATTAAGATGGACTATGCCTTGCCTCTTTGAGGAGAGGCAAGAGATGGAAGAAAGTCGTGTAGTTTAGTTGGCAAAGAAGAAACCATGAGGTCAGATTACCAGGAAAGGCCCCTATCTTACCTGGAGCAACTGAAAAATAACTAAGAAGAGAGAAAATTTAGAAACTGGTGCATATAGTGCAAAAATCATGCTGAGGATATTTTCAAGAGCAGCCAAACCACATTACAAAAAGGCTGCACTGAGGAGATATAGTAGTTTTATCTGCATGACTAAATTATCCTGAGAAGGGACATAAAAACAAGAGTAAGTTTCTAAAAAGCACTCCTTTAGTTTACAAGGGCTTCTGCTTGATAATTTCAGTACCCAAGCAAGAAAATCTGAGGTCCTGACTGTACTCAGCATCAAAAATAAGAATGTATTAATTTAAAGAAAGAAAGAAATGTCAGATGGACACCTATCAAGTAGTGGTCTTAAAATGCATATTGCTTTATAGGGAATATTAATATATAGCAAGAGTTATGAAGGTGCCAGCTCTTTTTAATTATGAATGGCAGACATTTATTTCAGTGATGAAGCTGGAGTTTTGTTGCTGCACTTCAAGTTTTTGTTTTGTTTTGTTAAGGGAAATACAGTTAAGTTTTCTACAACTCTCCAGAACTGTTTCCCCCCCCCTGCATCTTTACCAATGGGACAAAATCTGGCAAGGGCAGCCAAATACTACACCAGTCCTTAAATTCAGCAACTTGAGCCACTGCCACTAGAGCAATTATAGGTAGGATGCTTTAGAACTCTGCAGGAGTGTCTATAAAGAATGAAGAAAGGAGTAGCTATGATTTCCAATAATGAATTACTGTGTTTAAAAGCCTTTTTAAAAAAATCTACCTCTGTTTTGGATATGAGACCTGAGACCAAAAAGCGTAATTCTGCAGTTGGATCTGCCCCTGTTAAATTTCCAGTTTGATAGTCATTTCTCTATGAATTTTGGGGGTTGGGAGAGAGGTTCTTGGAGAATCATTATTTAGTAGGGCAGTTCTCCTTAAAAGCAACATGAGAACCTTTATCCATGCACGTGTTTATGTACAGCAATCTGGCTCACTTATCAGGGAATAGTTCTTTGTTTTCTTCAGAATTGGGCTGTGTCTTTACTATGGTGCAATATAACTTGAGTTGTTCCTCAGGTCATTTAGAATAGTGAATATTGCTGCTAAGTATAAAGTCTTATATTAGGGGTGCCTCATAGATTGAAGGAGATCCTGTCTAGTATGTACATTATCTTTTTAAGCAGATATACTGCAGCTGGCAAGAAACCTAAATTGTCCATTAAATTCTGGATTTATTATGTTTGCAATGAGTAAAAAGGAAGTAGTTCTAAAGGGGGAAGGATTTCTTAGCTTTTATATGATAGGGCATGCACCTGCATGATGCCGCTCGCCTTCTCCCTTCAGATCAAGCCTTTGGTATAGCCCCCTTGGGCCTATGCCCAACAGTGCATATACATTTCCCTGTTTCCCGCTACCTTCACTTCTCTTCTTCTCTTCCTGTCTCTTTTATCAAATTATGGATTGCAACCTGCTTGGGCAGGGACTTGACCTCTTGTACACTGCAAAGCACCATACCTTAATGACCCTGTATGAACAACAAATAACTTTGAAGCAGTCACCATCTTAAGGAAAAAAACAGTGCCTCTAAGATGACTTCTGCATCTTTAAAAATAGTTTTTAACAGGTATAAGAAAATTAAGCTGCGGCCTGATTTAATTGGGGTCACCACTTCTAAACAATTTACAGTAACAGAATAATAAGCATTGAAGCTTTAAAAGACACACACACACACACACACACACACGTGTGTTAAGGGCCCTGGAATCTGCATTACTGACTTCCTCTAATATTTGTGTTTTCTTGCTGAGTGGATATTTCTACTAGTGATGGGGTCTGTTAGCAGTTTGTGGGGAGGCCAGAAGTACATTTTTTGTTAGACTTGTATTCATGGAGGCTGATAGAATTCATTTTGATGGAGGCTTGTCAGGCACAGCTATTGGGGAGGGGAGAATTAGGAGAAGGGAGCAAAAATAATTGATTATGGAAAGAAACGGCAGTGAAACCCTATATTCTTAATATGAGCACACCAAGAAGAAAAGGCAGTGGATCCCTCCCATTATTGTGGAGTGGATAAAAGTCTTACTTGCTCAAAGAGCTTCACCAGCCATTAGTAAGCAGAGTGGAGGCTGGATTGCAGCCAAAGGTGGCAGAGATTTCTCCTGACTTGTGTGCAATGCCTCTTGAGAGTTTATATGTGTGTGCTTATTACTGCCTGTTGCACTGTTGCTTACAAGTTGCCGAACAAGGTGAAATTTAAACAACATGAATGGAGGAAGAGTCCATGGTGCAATATAGGGACTATTTGCTACGAGTCAGCAAATGACTAACTAGTCAAAAAAGTGAGGGACTTCTAAAGCCAAACTATATTTCACATGGAGCAGCCAGTTAGTTCTTTAGAGTCTATCTTTCCCTCCCCTCAGCCAGGTGAATTTCTTCCTCTTTTCAAGCTTATCTGATACTAGCAAAATGCCAGTGTTTGCAGTGGATGGAGTGTTTCTGGAAAGGCAACTTTGCAAATCATTTGTAGGGGTCTGGTGTGCCCCAGGCGCTTACATCCTTCTTGTGAGAGTTGAGTTGTCTAGTACTAGAGATAAAGATCGTTACAACATTGTTTGCAGGCAGAGCAGCTGGCATCCTACCCAACCCAAAAATATCAACAAGTAGTTTGCATTGTGAGAGGAAGTAAGGGGAATGGACTTTAGGGTCGCTTAGCCTGTGCTATGATGTTCCCAACCACTTGGTGTGAAACCTGCTGGGTTCTATTGCTTGGGCACATTAGAGTAACAGTTTGGCAAAACTGACTTCTAGACGTATTTATTCATTAATTATCTGAAGTGAGGAGCTAGAAATGCCTAATGTTTTATGCTTGTTCAGATGAGATGAGAATGTGACACTTTGCCCGTTTGCTGTGTTTATGTATCAGAAAGAAAAAGAAGCTTGAACCAAAATTGCATTGCAACTTATTCTTAAAAAAAAATACACTTGTCTTAAAATCCAATCCTGCATGGTATCCCAGATGCCTTTTTTATGGGATGCCTGTTTTTAAAAAATGCAGGATTTCATCTGATGAGAACTAAATTAAGTCTCTTAACTCCTATTTATTACTTGAATAGCAATACCATGGCTGTATAGCATGCGTGTCTTGGGAGGACTAAAACAATGGTTATTAGGTGCTTGCAACGACTTGACTGTAATACCAATAAGAGCTGGCTGTTAGTATCATTCTTGTCATACAGCAGAAGAGCATCTATCAGTACAAAGAATGACAATGCTGCTCTTTTGTTTTCAATCTTGGGATCACTCCTGGGTTACTTGCAAATAAACTGTAACTGTAACTGTGGCCTTAAGTAGTATGTGAGCGGGGGCGGGGGAGTCTTCAGAAGCATGCTGTATCTTTATAAGGCTCTGGTTTGAAACTGAAAAAGCAAAGCTCTGCCTCCTGTACTTAAGGCAGAATTTGCTCCTTAATAATGTATGTTGCATAATGATGAATTCAATAATGCAGGGGTTTGTGTTTTTGTGTTTTCTCAGCTACTGTAAAACCAGGTTAAAAGCCAAGCAAAAAAAAAAAATCACCCTGAAAAATGATTGTACTTTATATTAAAGTTTGAACCCTATGGGTTCGGTTTCTTAATAAAAGCACAAAAAGCACCTGTTTGTCTTGATTGTGTTGGGGGGATTGTAAATAATAATAATAATAATAATAATAATAATAATAATAATAATAATAATAATTTATTTATACCCCGCCCTCCTCAGCCAAGGCCGGGCTCAGGGTGGCTAACAACCAATAATAAAAACAAGTTGAATGAATACAACTTAAAAACAAGATTAAAATACAACATTAAACATTAAAATGCAGCCTCATCACAGGAGGAGAAAGGAAAAAAGAAAGAGGGGGAGGGAATCAAAATTGACTCCAAGCCAAAGGCCAGGAAAGAACAACTCTGTCTAACAGGCCCTGCGGAAAGAAATCAGATCCTGCAGGGCCCTGGTCTCATGAGACAGAGCGTTCCACCAGGCTGGAGCCAGTGTTGAAAAAGCCCTGGCTCTGGTTGAGGCTAATCTAACTTCCTTAGGGCCCGGGACCTCTAGGGTGTTGCTAATATATGTAGATCATAGTGCAGTGTTAAGTGCTCTTGACCTTAAGTCAAGTAAATGACCCTGGACATTAAGTGCCAGTCAAAGGTGACGGGGTGCGGCGTCATCTTCTCAGGCAAGGAGCCGGCGTTGTCTACAGACAGCTTCCAGCTGTGAGCATGACTAAACCACTTCTGGCACAATGGAACCTGTGACGGAACCAGAGCCATGTGTCAGGGTCAGGAGCAGAGGAAGGCAAGAGAAACAGAGAGTGAGGGAGGAGCGAAGAAAAGATAGTGAGCGACGACGAGATCTCCGAGTCTTTCAGTTCAGAAGATCACAGAAAGAGCACATGCAGCAAGGGGAGCTAGGGGAACCCAGGAAGAAAGGCCAGAGGGCTCAGAGGGAGCGTGGAAACGGCCACTCACCAAGGAGCGGGAGAGAGGCGAGGTTCAAGCGCTGAAGCTCACAAGAGGAGCACGGTCAGGGTGGCACACTCCTCGGACGAAGAAACGTCAGACTGGAGGTTGGCCGCAGCGCCAAGTTCAATGCACAGAAGGTGGCGAGTGAGCAGCCCGAAAGGGACTCTAAAGCCCGCCAAGGAGACAGAAGTCGGGGTCAGCGTCAGAAGATCCGGAAGGAGAGACCCGGCAAGGACCCAGAGAAGAACATCAGGCGAAAGGTGGAGTAAACTACGGGGGCAGAGTTCAGACGGAGCTTCGCCGTTAATAGACCACGCAGCAGCTGATGGAAATGTACACAATAAAGACTTTTTTAATGATCGCTGGCTAGCGTGATCCTCTGTGACTAGGATCTTGAAGCAGCTCACAGCATGAAATACCTATTTATCTACTAGAACTGGTATGCTTTTGAACTGCTAGGTTGGCAGAAGCTGGTACAGAGCACCGGGAGATCATCCCATTGTGCAAATTCAAACTGCCGACCTTCCAATCAGCAAACCCGAAAGGCACAGTGGTTTAGACCACAGCACCGGTTTAGACCACAGCACCACCCATGACTTGACTTGTAAAGCCTTTCAGCACAAGGGTACATGAAGTCTTTCTCCACATGTGCCAATCTGAACATCATCATTAGAGTCTGTTCTCTAGGTTATTCCATGTGCATTACAATGGGAAAGTGCCTTTTTAGGGGTGGTTTTGGAATGTTTTCCCCAAAGAAGATACTAAAAGACCTGCAGCACCCTAAAGACTTAACAAATTTATTGTGGCATCAGCATTTGAGGACTTCAGTCTACTTCAGCAGATGCATTAAATGTTATAATTGTTTTAATGGCATTCCAGTTGTTAATAGTCTCTTTTTTACAGCTAAGGTCATTTTTATGCTTAACACATTTTTATCGTTTTTAATGATGGCTGAAATATGACTTAAACACAACGTGAAATGTGGGTTTTATTTTTATAGAAGCTGCCTTGTAAGGATGTTTTCCCTAAAAGGCTATCCTAAGTTGACAGGTGTACACACACACACCAGTGGGAATGGTTTGTGTGCAAACAGTGAAATGCAAAGAAAATGCAGGGTTAGGTCCAGATGACATTACTTGTGTTTTAGCGCCACAGAAATAAACACGCTATCCCTCAGGAAATCTTAGAAAGGCTCATCTGACATTCACTTTGCTTCTTTTACACCAGATAGAGACCTTAATTTCCCCAGACTTCTAAACTTTTTGTTCTGTTTTATTTTCACTTGTCTATTATTTTGCTGTGGCTTTTATGAATTTGCTTGTTTTCAGCTTGTGTGTTTTACTATGGTTTTAAAAAATAACTGCCCTTTTATAACTTGATTGAAGAGCTCAGATATAATAGCTCTTAATAACTAAACACAGGATAGTGCTCTAAAGAAAGTATGCCTCTGTTTCATCACACATTACAGAAATGGCATCACGGTGGAGCTAAACTCCATGTATTTCAGTGTGGCTTACATGAGAGCCCCGAATAGATTATGCTCAACAATCTGCATTGCACCACAGTGAGTACTTTTAAGGACTTGGACTGTAATCAAAATGCATTAAAATTGTTGGCTTGTAAGGAAAGGAGTGTCTTTCCCACAGAAACTGCTGCATTTCTTCATTTAAAGCCTTCTCTCAACTTTACCTTGCCTGTCATTGATACTCATAATGTGCCTTCAACTGGATCCCATCATTTCAACTCCCAAATGACACTACAGTGCTATCCACATCTATCCAGAAGTAAATCCTATTGAATTTAGCCTTAATTGAACTTAGTTCTGAGTCCCATGCCAGCAGTGGTTGAAACTGTAGCCTTGCCCTTCCTGATTGCTTCGGGGATGTTCTGTGGGTAATCAAAGATTTTTTGTTTTTCAGCAGATTTTCCATATTTGAAGAGCACTTAGCTCAGAGGCTGTGCCAAGTTACATGGCAAAAAAATAAAACATCTCAGCAAAACAGGTTCCTGAAATGGGGAGAGTTAATAGGAGAAATTTCATATTCGCACCTCAACGACATCAGCTGCTTTCCGACAGAATAACCTCATATGGGTAGGCACACTAAATGCTCCTTTGGTATTAAGATCACAGGAACAGTGGATTCTCTTCGAAGCGGCTTATACATGTGCAACAGAACCAGCTAGCAGAATATTCTGTTCCTGACTTAGTATAGCAGACTGGAGCATGTAACCAGTTCTTGTGTATAGCAGAATCTTTGTGGCAGGGCGGCTGGAAATGTAATAGCATGACATACCTAGACAACAGCAGTTGTGTATTGTTGGCCAAATGCATCTATATATACAGGCAACCACCAATTTATGTGGGGGTTACATTTCAAGGCACCATGTGTTTAAGTGAAATCACGTATATTTGAAACGCCATTGAAAAAGCTTGCAAAAACCCTGTCCTGCCCCCTCCCCGTTCTGTCCCCTTTTGTGATGCTTTTGTGATGTTTTCGGGTCACTTCCAAATTTGGCACAATGCCTTCAGAGGTGATATAAAGCAGCCATTTATTTACCCTGGCTGTGTAAACTTTTGCTTAATTGTACATTTGGCAAAGCACAGTAATATCACCAAGTTGTCCTAGAATGGCCTCATAAAAAATGAAAGGTGGCCCTAAGAGCACAGCAATCAAAACGCTCAGTTGGGAAAACCCTATTATATAATTCTTTGAACACAAGAGGCAAGGAAAGCCCTTTTATATTCTTGATAAGGGTATGTGATATACTGATAGGATTTCAGCAGCAAGATATGAAACTCTTGTAAATGAGACTGCGGGGAGGAGAGAACCCGGACTGCAATTGTGTAAAAGTATTAAAACCACAATTTTGTAAGTCAATACAATTGCTACTGTAAGATGAGTGTTTGTGGGCCCTGTCACCCTGTTTTTGCACTATAGTGGGTAGTTGGCAGTACTGTCTTCACTGCAAAGCAATTGAAGATGGCTGGGGGAAACGAAACAAATGGGATTTCCATTTTGGCACCAATGGGAAGTTTCTTCCCCCAACGCTTAGGGAAATCAAACTTCCCCTGCTCCGGCCATGCCATCCAATCTTGATAAGAACCCTCCCCTGGGGCCTGATATTTAACAATCATGCCATTAAAAAATAAAAATAAATGTGCCCACTCAACTGCTTCAATCTGAGGAACTGGCATGTAACTGGCTTGTTATGCAGTTGTAAGAAATCAATTGTTTGGTGCAGCACCAACTACACTTTGGAACTCCATGCCTGTTGACATCAGACAGGCACCTTTGCTGTGCTGCTATCAGTGCCCGCTTAAAACATTTTTGTTTGGGCATCTCCAGACACGTAGACGCTGGTGCGTTTTCATCCTTTTGCTCTTAGTTTTAATTCTTTTTTACATGTCTTAAACTGTTTTTTATTAATAATTTTGGTATTTCTTGTAAAACGCTTGGATTTGCCACAATCAAGTGGTTTGTTTGAGCATACCTCTGCTGTGCAAAACAGGGTGTGGAGCTCAACAGAGAAAGACTGTCCTTGTTTTGAGGCACTGCATGCAACAGTTCGGTTGTGGGAAGACTATTTCGTTGTGCCCATGGTGGCTTCTCCCCGCCTCCGGGAAACGGTCATCTAAATTCATTTGCTGGCCCCCATCTTACAGGACTCGGTTCAAGCTCCACTGAAAAACGGTTTGTAGTGGCATGGCAGGTTTTGTTCATGATGAATGCAACGGAGATTCCTTTTTCCTCACCCACCCACTCACCCCCGGAGCAGTTGCCATGAGGGGGCAAGGGGCAGCGCAGCCCCCACAACCAGGGCACATGTCCCCTGGCCTGAACAGGCTGACTTGCTCCCAGCAGCCTCTGGCTGCTTCAGACAGGCCAGGCCATTGTGGGGCAATCAATTAATCTTCCCTTCATCCTTCTGCCCTTTGACCTTGTCTGACTCAGTTCGGAAGCCACGAAACCCCACAGCAAAACACCCCCGGCTGCCCCCTTCTTGGCTGAGGCTCGGTGGATAAGATGGAAATAGAAAATTAATGCCAGTCAGAGGAGGCTACTGGAGAACAGGAACAAGATTACAGGCAGGTCAGCTTTCTTGTTCCGTCCCAGCTATAAAAGGGCTCAAACTATTTAAGTGATAACT